GTGCCAAAGGAAATGCCAATGATAACAATGAGACCTTTTTTTTCAATGCTCATCACACATATCATAGGTGGGGCAAATAGTTAAGCTTCCGCTTCCTCCCACTTCCAAAAGTGGGCATCTTTTGGAGTATCCATAAAAATTTGGCAGTATGTATAAAAAAAAACATGAAAATACTCTTCAGTCCAGTGGTTCTGCTTTGAACACTGGATCCACAGATAATCTCACATGTGAGCTACCATATGTAAATAAGAAGGTTTATATAATATTACTAGTAATGAGGAACTATTGGAACTCACCTATCATTGAGAGGAAGGGATAGGAGATTAGGTAGAAGCCACTCTATCAAGTATTACACAACATGTAAGAAGGATGAGGCCAGCCTTCATGTGAAATTGAAATTTCCAAGCTGTTAAGTACAAGTCAAGTTTCAGTATATATAGTATAATCTTATTTTTTGGTTAAAAAAAAAAAGGTTTTTTTAAATACTTACAAAGCAAGTCTCTACATTTCTCCATGTCATGTGGTAGGTAGTGAGGGAAGAAAAGAAAAGAAAAGATACGCCAGGAGGGGTGCCTGGCTGGCTAGGTTGGAAGAGCATACTCCTCTCTATCTCAAGCTTGTAAGTTTGAGTCCCACATTGGGTGTAAAGGTTGCTTTAAAAAAAAAAGAAAGAAAAAAAAGATAAGCTAGGCTACTCAAACTCTTCTCAGTGATTAGCTGGAAGTAAAGGTGAGGAAAGAGCAGAAGGGAAGCTGAGAACAGAGCCCCCCCCCCAGGCCCCCCCTCTAGGGTTGGGGGGTATGTGTGACAGTCCCTCAGGAAACTTCCAACTCTCTTAATGTTACTGCTTTGCTACAGTGAAAAACAACCTTAACTTGATAATAGCAAGGCCTCCAGTATCCTAAGGGTCTTCTTTAGCATATGAAAGTCTTTTTTAATTTTTTTATTTTTAAAGATTTTATTTATTTATTTGTCAGAGAGAGAGATCACAAGTAGGTGGGGAAGCAGGCTCCCCACTAAGCAGAGAGCCCGATGCATCCCAGGACCCTGAAATCGTGACCGGAGCCAAAGGCAGAGGCTTTTTTTTTTTTTAAAGATTTTATTTATTTATTTGACAGACAGAGATCACAAGTAGGCAGAGAGGCAGGCAGAGAAAGAGGAGGAAGCAGGCTCCCCTGATGCGGGGCTTGATCCCAGGAGCCTAGGATCATGACCTGAGCTGAAGGCAGAGACTTAACCCACTAAGCCACTCAGGCGCCCCCTGAAAGTCTTTTTTAAAATTTAACTTATTTGGCACAGATTGAGAGAGAGAGAGAAAGAGAGAGAGAGAGGTGGGCACAAGCAGGGGGAGTGGCAGGTAGAGGGAGAGGGTGAAGAAGGCTCCCCCATGAAGAGGGAGCCTGATGTGGGGCTTAATCCCAGGATCCTAGGATCAGGACCCAAGCTGGAGGTAGCTGGTCAACCGATTGAGCCACCCAGGTGCCCCTATGAAAGTCCTTTTGGACACCTCCCCTTTTCCTCACCTCCCCCAATTCTCAAGTATATAATCAGTCACCCCTCACAACCCCAGGGAAGCAGCTCTTTCTGCCTTCAGGTCCTGTCCCTGTGGTTTCATAAAATCACCTTTTTGCACCAAAGACATTTCAAGAATTCTTTCTCGGCTGTTGCATCCTGACCTCATCAATATTCCAAAACTACATCGAAGGTGCAGTTTTGGAGATGTGTGTGTGTGATGTGCAATGAAATCAATTAATGAATTAATTATGCGATTAAAGAAATTGAATCAACCCCATTGCACTGAGCATAAGGCCAGTTGGAAAAGTGTTTAATCGATAGTTGCTGCTTATAATCAATATTGCCCAGAGCTGGCTTCCGGAAGCTGGTTATTGACTGAGCCCCAGGGAAACCTTTATGAATTTTTAAAAATTGTAACTCAAAAGATATAATTGCCCTTCAAGGGTCTTTTTTTTTCTTTTTTCTTTTTTCTTTTTTAAATAATCCACCCCATTACCAAGGGTTTAAAAACCAGGTGATCTGGGCCCTGGCTCCCACCTGAACCTCATCTCTCCCCAATCCCTTCAGCTCATAACCTTCTGTCCTTCCTCAAAGACCCCAGTCTTTCCCACCTCAGGGCCTTTGCACATATGGTGGCTTTCTCTGCCTGATTCCTATTCATCCTTCAGGTCTCTGTTTAAATGTTTATACTTTCCCTGACAACCCCCAAACCTCAACTATTCTTTTCCATGGGGCCCTGCTCTTTTCCTGAAGTAATCTTATCACAACTGATAGTTATCAATTTATCTGCAGGCTCACAGCTCTGTCCTCAGGGCCCAGAACATCCACGGTACAGGTTAAACATCTGCTCAGTGCCTGAATCCCCACTGCCTCTCCAGCATGCTCCCATCCTACCCCAAGGGAGGGAGGTCCAGCACACAGTAGGGGCTTGGCCAGACTAGGGAGTCTTTATAAAATGGAGGAGAACTGAGACAAAGCCATGTGTTCTGTGTGGAGATGGCTGGCTCAGACCCCAGAGAGGGGGACAAGCTTGGAAAAGGACAGGCATTCCTGGTCTCATTCCCAGCTCTCTTTTCCCCCCACCCCATCCCAGAACTTCTAAGGCGCCAGTGGAGACTCTGGGTGGGTGGCAGGTTCCAGCCTGGGGACAGGTTCCTTCCCACTTTTTCTGACTAAGGGCGAGAGCGAAGCTGGTCTGGAAGAAAATGTCAAAGTAAAAAACAATGCAGTAATTGACTCTTGCTTGCTGCCATTTGAAAGGAATGAAAGTGGGATTAACCAAAAAAAACAAAATCTAAACCAAAACCAAAACAAAAACACTCTACTGTTTTAGACTCTGCCTCGGAAACAATCATCTTACTGTTTTCTGTGTCATAATAAAATTAAAGGTTTACCCAAGAGCTTTGTTCTGCGCTTGGCCTTGTGCAGTGTACAGGGAGGCTGGTCTCTGGGTTTGCAGCTACCAAGAAGCACCGCTCATTTCAAGTGCCCACTGCCTGTGGGGTGGGGAGGAGGGTCTCAGGGGCCTTGTGGCGAAGGGGTAGGACATCCAGGGTAGGTGAAGGGCTCAGTCATCATCCACCAGTGATATTTTCATCAGATATTGGCCATCAGATCTTGTCACTCTCCTGTTAGAAACCCACCAGGCCTTAGAATAAAATGTTAACCTCTCTCCTCCATTACTGAGTAGGCAGAAAAATAACTACTCAAATGTCTCAGACCCTATCCCTGGAATCTGTACATTTTACTGTATAAAGAAAAAGGGTCCTTGAAGATTAAATTAAGGTTCTTGAGGTGGGAGGTCATCCTGGATTACCTGGGTGGGCCTTAACCCAATCACAGCTGTCTTTACAAGAGGGGCCAAGAGAGATTTGATCCATACAGAAGAGGAGTCATCAACGTGATCCTTGAGGCAGAGATTCAGGAGATGAGGTCACAGGTCAAGGAGTGCCAGAAGCAACCACCAGGAACTGGAAAAGCAAGAAACAGATTCTCCTCTAGAGCCTTCAGAGGAAGACCGGCCCTGCTGACACCTTGATTTTGGCTAACTGAAACTGATTTCAGATTTCAGACCTCTAGAACTATATGGAAATAAATTTCTGGGTCGGTTTTGTTGTTGTTGTTGTTTGTTTGTTTTTGTTTTTTTTTTTAAAGATACCACAGTCAGGTGGCAGCCACAGGAAACTACTAGGACCATCATCTAAATAGCCCTCTGGGAACTGGTCCCTGCCTACCTGCTGAGCCTCCCCCCTTGCTCATGTTACCCCCACCCCACCAATAATCCTCAAACTGTCTGGCTTCCTCCAGCTCCAGGGCCTTTGCACTTACTAAGTTCTTCCCAAGGGCGGCCCTACTGATAATTCAGCTCTCTGCCTAAATGTCACCTCTCTGAGAGGTCTTCTCTGGCCAGTTTATCTAAAAATTGCCTTCTGGCCATCTCCGTCACATCTATTTTATTGTAGTCACAGCATTCGTCACTGACGTTTTTTCTTCCCAGTCTATCACTTGTCATACCCAGTAGAAAGTGGGATCGGAGAAGCCTTGCCTGGCTTGTACCTGCTGTATCCCCAGGGACTAGGATAGGGCCTGACATATAGTAGAGGTTCTGCAAACACTGGTTGATAAATTATCTGTGCAAGCCTTTATGGCCTGAAGGGGGTTTGTGTGTGCTTGTGAGTGTGTGTGTGTGTGTGTGTGTGTGTTTGTTCGCGCGCGCGTTTCAGGGTGCAGGTGGACTAATGAGACCATAACTCCAACATCATCTCCCACCTTGTGAATGCCCCTCATGCATGCCCTTGTCACGTTGTGCCAGGAGCTTCTGTGAAGTGAGGTCCTTTCATATCCCTATATTACAGACGAGGAAGCTGAGGCTCAATGATCTTCTAAGTTACTGCTTAGTATGTTCAGAAGTGGAAACCACGTAAATTGAGTCACCAGCAGCCTCAGTCAACTATAGACCCTCACCTCCTGGGTGCCGGGTCCCATCTCCCAGGACTCCTGCAGAGATGCGGATCACGCTGTAAGGAGAAACTTCAGAGAGGCCCCTAGAGGCATCTAGGAGAGGCATCCAGGCCAGGCCTGGGAGTACTGCACTCCCCCAGCCCCGCTTACCTCCCGCTTGGAAGTCACCTGCTGGCAGGGGGCGGAGCATCGGTGAAAGCCGCACCGACGCTGAGTGAGATTCCCAGGAGGTGGCTTTCTTTGGGAGAGAAAAGTGCGGCTCTCCAGGCTGGCTGTGGCGGAGCCGTCTCACTGACTGCGGCCTCAGTAGCCCCATCTGGAAAGTGGACGCGGCCTCGAACGGCTCGAGGCGGAGCCGGCCGGCGGCGAGCAGAGGGTTAAAGGGGCGGGTCCCGCGGTGGGGGCGGGGCCGGAGCTCGGCCGCACCTGGCTGCTGGAGGCTCCCCGCCCCGACGCCGCGCGTCGCCCCGGGAGCCGCGCCGGGAGCCTCTTCGGGAGTGGGAGCCCCCGGGGAGGAGCGGCTCGGCACCGCGGGGAGGGGCGGCGGCGGCGGCGGCCGGAGAGACGTCGGGAAGCGAGCGGAACCGCCATGGCCGAGTTCCCGTCGAAAGTGAGCACGCGGACCAGCAGCCCCGCGCAGGGCGCCGGTGCCTCCGTCTCCGCGCTGCGCCCGGACCTGGGCTTCGTGCGCTCCAGCCTCGGTGCGCTCATGCTGCTGCAGCTGGTGAGCGCGCGCGGGGCCGCGGGGTCCGGCTCGGGGGCGGCCGGGCCGGGAGGGCTCGGGGCTGCCTCCTTTGCTCCCAGTACTCCCTCACCTTAGGCTCCGACGCGCCGCGACGCCCCTGTCCCCCGGGCGCCTCCAGGACTCACGCCCCCAAGACCACCCTCAGCCCTCTCACTTCGACGCGTCCCCGTTGCCGTCGCCGCGAGCACCCGTGTTCAGAGTGCCCACTCTCGCGCGGCCCATGGTCCCGCGAGGTGGTCACTGGAGGCCAGACAAAGGAGCGCTCCCAGACGCACAGTCACTGCGCCCAATTCGCTCTGTCTCCCAGCCTCTCTGTCCCCCAGCCTCCTTGTCTCAGTCTCTGTCTCTCTCTGCCAGGGCAATGCCCGCAGCCCTCCAGGACACGCGGCCTGAGTGAAGCAAAGTCCACTCCGAGGGGCTCCGCGTGGCCGAGCCCCAGACGCTCCTTTTCTAAGCGAAAGGGCACCTCGGTGCCGGCGCGTACCTTTAGGCGCGGCCCCTGGCCTCTCGCGCGGGGACCGGGCTTTTCTGGCTTCCACTGGTTGCCCCACCGGGTTCCAGCCGGTTTGGCCGGCCCCAGGGGGCCGAGATACCGCGCCTAGCGCGGACGGGAGGGATTTGTGGGAAACCAGAGGCATTTGCAAGGTTCCGAAGCCTCCCAGACCCTGTGCGGATCCCCCCAGAGTCGGACTGATGGGAACACCCCTCTCCCCATACACTGGTTTCAGGCCTGGCGGTTTTCTCTTTATTCCCACGGTACCCTCTGGTGGGTCAGGAAGCCGGGTGGCTGCCCCTGCGGGAGGCTTCCCCAGCAACTGAGGGTCCCGAGGACTAAGGTGGAACTGGAGGTGGGCCAGGATCCATTTTCTTTTAGGACATGTCCGTCGTCCCCATCCTGCCTGATCCTGGTTTGGTTGGAAGGCTGAGAGGCTGGGTAGTCTGACACAATGTGCCCCTTCCCCTCCCCAGCACCTGTCTCCACCTAGGTCAGTGCTAGCTGTGTTTCAGGGTTTCACAGATCTGTCTCTGGCCCCTCAGCCCCCACACCAGCCTCAGACTCTCTGGGAAGGGTTTAAAATGTAGAGTCTTAATCCCCACCCCCTGGAAAAAATGTGGAATTGGAATTTCAGGAAGTGCAGCCCAGAAATCTACATTTGTAATCTTCTCCCAGAGTTGTGTTGGCGATCTCAGGGTGGGTAAGACGTCCCATGGGGCCTGATTTAAATTGGCAGGTTTGTATGCTGCACTCCAGGACCATTGAGAAGGTGGCAGGGAGCGGGCAGGGAGTGGGAAAGGAGCCTCAGGGCTGGGCTGAAGGGGCAGAGGAGAGGCAGATGAATTTGGAGTCCTGGGAGGTTCCTGAAGGAGAGGGAACTTTTGATTTCACTGACCTCGGGCAATGGAAGGGAGAGGGTGTTCAGAGTTGGGGCGGGGAGCTGATGTGGGAGCCAGGGTTTGGGGATGGACTAGTGGAAAGGAAGTTGGGGGGGGGATTGGGTTGGTACAGCTAGAGTTGAAGCCCTTGTTTCTGAGGTGGTCAGAAGCTGAGGGCCTTGAGTGCCATGGGGAGAGATAGGGAGAGAGCTCTGCTGGGCTCTGGGAGTGGGCGGTGGTTTCGTGGAGCCCCAGGCTTAGCTCCTGCTTGATGGGACCTGAACATGGGCTGCTTTCGAATTTGAACAGTGAGAACTGGAGTTGAGAGTAAGAGGGCCCTGCTGTGCCTGCTGGGACCTGGGTAGATCCCTTGGGAAGAGGCTGCCGTTTCTGATTTGGCAGTCCCTGTGGGCCCAGCAGCCCAGTCCTGAATATTCATGTCCCATTGCACAGAAATCAATCCTGGGTCTACACCGGGTGTGCAACTTACAGGGAGGCCTTGCTTAGGTGTCCAGACACTAAGGGACTGGGTGTGAGTGAGGTGGCCTTCCTTTGCCCCCCTCCCCCTGCAGTGCTTTTGGAGCTGGGGTGAGGGGATCAGGGACTCCTATTAGACTTCTGAAGACCTGCACCTTTTAGTGCCTTAACCAACCTATGTGTTGGAGAAGCTGCTTCCTGAGCTGTTTCTCTGGCCACAGACAGTTCCAGTGGACAGTTTCCTGGTTTCCTAGGGGGCTTTACCCCAACAGGCACCACCATCTGCTGAGAAGCAAAAAGCTCCCACCAGTCATGTGTGAACCAGGCTCTGGGTTCCTTGGCAAGGGCTTTATATACTCCATTCTCCCCTTTTTATAGGTGAGGAAGCCGAGACTCAGAGGTCAGTTCTTTGCCCAAGGTCTAAGAGTGATAGAACTGGTATCTAAGCCCTGTGTGGGCTGACTTTTCTGGCCCATGCTCTTAATCACCACACTCAGCTGTACTCCCACAGGGCACAGGGTGTGGTGCTTTTGAGGGTGTGATGGAGTGGTCGTCCCTCCCAACCCCCAAAGGCCCAGCACCTGCTTACTCTTGGTCTGAGGGACCAAGACTCTTGGTCTTCCTCAAAGGGATCAGGGAAGGCTGCATGGAGGAGGCAGTCAATGGGAAGATGAAAGCTAATTCTCCTTTGTTTCTCAAAGGATGTGGTGGGAGGAGGGAGGTGGGGTGGGTAGAGAGCTCCCAGCTTCTTGGGAAGGAAATGTGCTCTTTGTCTGGTGTTGAAATGGGTCCTGAAGAACCAACTTCAGTGTTAATGATTTATCACCCCCCCCAACACCATCTGCTTCCAGAAAGAACATTAGGTGGAATGTGATACTCAGCTACGTACAACAGGAGTTAAAGTCATATATTTCTAAAAGTTCGTGTTGTGTGCGTAGGAGGGGATAGTATTGACTTGAGACCCAAAAGAGATCATTGTACCAGGAATCTATAGCAAGTTTAAGGCTATTGATTCTTTGTCGAGTTTCCTAGCAGCCTAGGCAAAAAGGGAAACATGATGAATTTATGCAGATAAGCATCTAAAAAGCAAGCAGGTAAGTTTGAGCTAGAGACAACTCGTTTGGTCATAGAAATCTGGAGGTTTTGGGGTGCCTGGGTGGCTCAGTGGGTTAAAGCCTCTGTCTTAGGCTCAGGTCATGGTCCCAGCATCCTGGGAGCCCCAAGAGTCTGCTTCCCCTTCTCTCTCTGCCTGCCTCTCTGCCTACTTGTGATCTCTCTCTCTCTGTCAAATAAATAAATAAAATCTTAAAAAAGAAAAAAATCTGGAGGTTTTGATGTTGCAGGGGTGTGGCTAGGGGGTGGAAGGAATCTTGTGGAAGGTGTGGTTAACTGATCCTTACAGCTCTGGGGAGAAGGATTATCTTACCTGGGCTTACTGATGAGCAAAGAGTGAGGAATTTGTATATAAAGTCACACAGGGTACAGTGGCAGTCAGAATTTGCACTCACATCCAAAGCAGGGCTCTAGCTATGCTTCCTGTTATGTTTTTATTTTTTTAATTTTTTTGGTAGGGGGTACCGATTCCTGGGGTGCTTTGGAGGGGAAGGAAGGGAGACCTCCTTCAGGGAGAGAGATTTATCCAGGGCCAGGGCCACTAGGGAAGGCTTCCTGACAGAAGTGGGCTCTGAAGGGTTTAGTTATAAGGAAGGGAGTAGTAAGAAGGAGGTTCCAAACAGATGAACCTTAGAATAGCTTGCCCAAAAGCCTTGCAGTCAGAAGGCATCCCTGAGGTCTCGGGCATAGAAGCCCATATAAATGGGCCAATCAGTGTTTGGCACCTTCTTTCCTTTTTTGCTGGACCTCTTGGAATTGGAGGTGGCCACACCATTTCCGTTTTTGAACAAAATATCAAAAGCTTTACCCACCACTAGATCACAGTGACCCGTGGGTGATGCGGAGTATTGGTGGGAGCACTGGCCTGAAAGCAGAGAGCCTTGGGTTCAGATCCCGGCTGCCCCTTCCTGGCTGTGTGATCTTGCACCTTCCGTAATACCCTAGAGCTTCTGTTTCCTTGTTGGTAAAATAGTGACTATGGAATAGTGAGAAATGTGGAATATGGTGCTGTAAAGGGCTAAGTGCCGTGTGTGTTGGAATGAAGGGCAGTTAGGATTCACAGAGCCGTAGAATCATAGGGTTCTTCATGCTTGCTCCCAGAGGTCCCGCGAGCTTACTTGCTTCCAGGGACAGGGAGCTCAGTCTCTCTCAAGGCTGCCAGCACCATCCTTGTGTATTTGGGAGTATTAGAAGGTTCTTCCTTGCGGTAATCCTGGCTCTGTCCCCAGTCCCAGCAGGCACTTCACCTTCCTCTCCCTGTGGGGGTCAGGGCAAGGCCTGCAAGTCCCCTCTGTCCTCCATCAAGAGGCTGCCCGGAGGAGATTGTGGGGGTTTCCAAGGTGTGAGCAAAGCTCGGTCTTGTTGGAAGTGCAGTGCTGGGGCCTCCCAGGGTGTTCTTTAGCCCTGAGCTATGTGGGTTCAGTCTCCTGGGTACATCATGCCAGGCCCTGCAAGCTTGCTGGTCCACCTCCTGTGCCCAGAGGAAACCAGTGCTTGGTCTTGTTATCTCCACCCACACACCCCACTGGTTGTGGCCTGGAGGGAGTTGAGTGTTTGGAATAAATATGTGAACACATTCTCCTTACAAAATGAAAACCTTTTACAGATAAGGCCAAAGTTATTCTTGGATTGCTTGCCCCTCTCCCCAAGGGGACCCCTGTAGGGAGTTGCCAGTTCTTTTTCCTGTGCATTGTGAAAAATACGGGGATGGTTTTATGCCCTCTCCTTTGTTCGGTAAGTTGGCATTTCTTACACCCAGGCCACCTGAGATGCCTTCTGTTATTGTCCCTCCCTTTTAACCGATTCAGGGCATGTCCTGGTGTCAGCAGGTGTTCATGTAGCCCTTTCTCTACTGATGGGCATGTTTAAAAAAAATTGTATTCCTTGAGAAAATCACACAGGCACACAGCAAAAACAGTCCAACAATACAAAGGGTAATTAATACGAGTGTCATCTCTCTCCTCCTGGACCAGTCCTGGACCAGTCCCCCGAGGTACCCGCCTGCAGGAAGGCAG